TATATATATATATATATATATATATATATATACATACTAATTTTTTCAGAATAAATAAGAAAAACTAGATAATATTATTTTATAAAATAAAAATTAAATATTAATTAGCGGACCCAGCTGGCCGAGGTGACTAAGAGCGTGTACTGACTCGTGGCTTGGGTCGCGCGTTTGAGTCTCACCTTGGGAATGGTTGTTGTCCCTTGTGTCTCTCGTGTATCTGTGTTCGCGGAAGACCTCGCGTTCTGTTCATCACTTATCAGACGAGCCCGCAAATGTGTTGGTGTCTAGCGTATTGTCGAATATGCGTCCCATCCGGACGCAAAGGGTAACCGACTGTTGCCTAAATAAAAGCGCTAGAAAAGAAAATCATTTGAATGTATAAAATTGCTCTAAACAAGTACTTTGCGCACACGAACGTCGCCGATCAGATCTTGCATTCAGATGCATTCAGAGCTGAAAGAAAGTGCTATCTATACAGGAGTACTTGCACTTTCACTAGTCTTTACCACACATAAGATTTTTATTTGGAAAATAAAATACATTCGAATTATGTAGAATGCTGTTTTCGAGGAGGCAGAGCTAATGTGGATAGTCGTATCGCGTAGCCAGTGATGGATCGCGGAAAGGGGGAGGAAGAAGGTTAATAGTAGTAGTAGTAGTAGTAGTAGTAGTAGTAGTAGTAGTAGTAGTAGTAGTAGAGTAGTAGTAGTAGTAGTAGTGGTAGTAGAGAAGTAGTAGCAGTAGTAGTAGAGTATAGAGTAGAAGTAGTAGAGTAGTAGTAGTAGTAGTAGAGTAGTAGTAGAGTAGTAGTAGTAGTAGTAGTAGTAGTAGAGTAGAAGTAGTAGAGTAGTAGTAGTAGTAGTAGAGTAGAAGTAGTAGAGTAGTAGTAGTAGTAGTAGTAGTAGTAGTAGTAGTAGTAGTAGTAGTAGAGTAGTAGTAGTAGTAGTAGTAGTAGTAGTAGATAATAGATATAGTAGTAGTATGTAGCCAATATCATAGTAGATATGTAGTATTGGCGCTGGAAGTTGCGGCTTTTCTACAGTTCTTTCTTTCATGCGATAAAATCACAAGGTTTCAGCTAGTTATTTAACACTATTGTCAATAATTTGGGAGAATTGTTTGTTCATTTTTCTAAATAGCAAATACTTAAATTGTTCAAAATGCTGTGAAAATACGTTGATATAAGTAACTTGTCACTTAGAAATAGCAGCAACGATGTATTTGCCAGACATAGTCAGCACTTAACATCCCAGTGTAGTAATGGCGAGTGAATTCACATTATTCAAGTGAATTATCAGAAGACTAAGAAACGGAAATGATACTAAATTCAAAATTTTTTTCATTCAAATCATTTGAAGATAGTCTTTAGTTCAGTCGTTGGTCACTTCTGTAATGAATGAGCGTTTTCGAAAATAATTGAAAACTTGCGCCTGAGAAGTGGCAACGAAACGTCAGAAACAGTTTCTCTACACTTTAATATCGTCACTCACCTTGGAATTATAACCCTCGAGCCCTTACCGCCACGCCAACTATATCTTCAGATCTGGTGCCTAAACGATTTATATACCATTGCTACTGGTCCGGTGAAATAAAATGATTGACAGCTGTTTGAACAACGATTCGAGACGTATGAGCAGAAGGAAGAAGCGCTTCTGAAATATCGCATGAAAATATTTTGCCTGAAGAAACAAACTGACAAATATTTAATCTCCTCAGCACATGTATCAACTCAAACAAGCAAGATATATTTATTTTCTATTATTTTTGACAGCTAGTGAGAGATAAAATATTTTCAATTGTTACTTTTAAAAAAGAAGTACTTTTACTTCCCGGAAAGATATCTTAAGGTCAAAGCTGAAACAACACCGAGGAATCAAAAAGTAAAATAACGAAATATCTCATAGGCGTAATAATCCATTCTCTCACACTCTGATACACATCGTCACTTTTCTGTAAAAATGCATTAAGTCCAAAAAATGAAAAGTTTAGGAAAAAGAAAAACTAATTATGACTGAAACTATTATTAGGTTACTACTAAATGGTATTATTTCTTTTGGTATTAAATTAAATTAATTAATAATATAAGCATAAACTTTTATTAAATAATTTCACAATTGTAATGATTATGAATTACTTAATAAAATGTAAACATTAGAGTGTTCAATCTTATGGAACTTTTGCACTGCATATACGAGTATACCATACCCCCCGCAACGACGCAGAAGTTATTCACAGACTTTAAGACTCCTTGCATGTTTCATTAAGATTACTTCTGTTCAACTAAAATACCCTAGGCTAAATAAGAAAGCTAAGAAATTTGGAAGAGAGAGAAAGAGAGGGAGAGGGGAGCAGGGGAGAGGGGAGAGGGGAGGGAAGAAGGGAGGAGGGGAGGAAGAGGGAGAGGGGGAGGGGAGAGGGAGAGAGCTGCCAGTTGTGAGCACATCCTGGGTTGTTTACAATACGCCCTTCGCTCTTAGACAAACGTTATAAATACCGCACCTCAACCCCTGTCCACTCACGGTCAGCATGTGCATGATTTGTTGTATCAACAGGCGCATTCGGATGGCCGTTCTCGACCGTCTTCCCTAGTGCACGGACCTCCCACAAACTTATTTCCATTCCATCTGGCCTCTTGCACGTCAGGTGGTGCAATTCCGATGTGGCAGTGGGTTTCGCTCGCCTGGGGTTGTAGGTGCGAGACTTGACGGTGGTGAATTTTAGTCACTTGCTACATAGTTAGCTTGAACAAATTGAAATTGAAAAAAAGTTATTGAATGGAATCAGTGGTACTCCCGGTGGGGGGAAGGGACTTCCGTAACCCCTCCCAGAAGCCAATGATATAGCTTTTACTAATTTATGATACAATGATATTACTTTTTCACTACGGAGTACAGTGTAATAGTATAAGAATTCTGTAATGCTGCGGGTGAAAAAGGTAAATTTTCGGCAGAAAAACTCTTATTGTACGACCAGGGTAAGGGAAAAGTGGATAAATGTAGTTGCTAAATAATAAAAAATAAAAAAATTCTCCAAAATTAATATTCCCTTATCGATTTTACTGATGTTACGGCCCTTTGAATTTGAAATTGATATTTTAATTTTAAGGGGTACTTTACATGCAGCCATTGGCGTATTTTCCAAATTTAAAAAAAGGCTCCATAGCTTTTGATTAAATTTTGTTGTTTGATAGGGTGAAGGATATTTAAGAGAATGGTGTAGATCTCATGTTCATGAAAAACACTTATTTTTTTAAAATTGCAAAAGTTTTAAATTTTTTCGTTTTCCTACAACAAAAATATTAAAGGTACAGATTTTTTCTTAATGAAATGTGTTCCTCAAAAGTAGATTCTAAAATAAGGTCAAATATAGGTGAGAAAGTAAGTTTATACTAATGAATGCCATTTAATATATCAATTGTTAACATTGTAAATGTTGACTTTAAGTCAGAAAATGTGCACATGTTATTTTAATCAGCGTAAATGTAAATATCATTATGAGAAATCGTCAAGTGACGGGGACATTATAATTGTATGCCCCTGAGAATAATCTTCGATATATCTCTGAATGAAATGAAATATAAGTGTATACTTTAAAGAAAATTATCTCACATCTTAATGTCTGAAATACTAATCCCAGGTTTTTGAATTTAAGAAATACCATTTTTTATATTTCTTTATTTGATATTAAATATTTTTTTTAGTGATACGTAAAGAAGAGAAGTGATGAGAGGAACAAAAATCAGATAAGTTTGATTAGATGTTTTAAAACATCAGATGTTGAATACAAATATTAATGTGAAGTTATTCTCTCTTTTATTTAGACAAAAGTGGTTAAAATCACAGTGCATAAAGAAGTTGTTTAAAAATTGAAGTGATAATAATATATTAGTTTTAGTAATGTGTTCTTAAAAAGCATGAAAATATTTAGTATCTATGTCATTTTGATTAATTTATTTTAGAGCTAAAATGGCACATTTATCAAATGCCCAACACAGCAGTGAAAGTTTTTGAAATTAACTTATCAATCTCCTTGTGATTTCTCATTGCTGGTTTTCTAAACTACAGGAAAGCAAGATTAATTTTAAATTGAATTGTAAACCATGTTTTTTTCAAGAAGATGAGTAAGAATCATCATGAAAATAAAACATTTATATTATAGTTAATAAGGCAAAAATGAAAGATGTGCTATAGTCTTTCAAAACCATAAAACTCATTGAATTTACATGTGCAATCACACTAGTTAGCAACATTAAAATTGAAGGGAGAAATAAAGATCAACAAATCCAGATTTGTTGGAAGTGGTTGTCAAAGTTTGAAACACTATCCAAAACTATATTCATATGTTTCCAATGAAATTTGCAAGGACTCAGTTCATTTCTTTATTGAAAGCATTGTATGTGGTCATAATTTTCTTCCATAACTACCACTCTATATTACGATATTTTTTACCATGAACATTTTTCTCTCTGGTCTATTTTTTTTATATTCTGTTCATTTTATTCAACATTTAGAAAATATTTGAGACCATCCCTGGATTATTTAAGCAAACTGAAATGACATTGTTAACACAATCATTAATTAATGGTAGGAATTCAGTAAAAGAGATGTTGCTATTTTTATTACATCTTGCTATGGAGATTTAAAAAATAAAATAGTACAGTACAGATGTTTGCAAAATGTCATGGGGCCAGTGTTTCTCTCTGCTTTAAACAAAGTTCCACATTATACAATGGAATATGTACTGGAAAATTTAAGTTTGTCAGGCCTGTAGTTTATGTTCTCATTGGACATATAGCAGTGTTATTAACATTCTGCATTGAACAAGTTTTAGCATAATTAGTTATCTTCACCACTCAGCATTAATCTTTAAACTAGTAATTAAATCAATCTTAATTTATTTTTCCTTAGTAAAATGTAGAAGCATCCCATAAATGAATCTGATATGCCAGGTAATAATGAAATTTTAGATAATTACAATATTTAAAAACAATATTTAAATTTAGGGTGAAATGCTACAGAGATTCTCAAACATCACTAACATGCATCACGTGAACTTGCTCGGTGTTCAGTGACACATTCTTCACTGAATGGGATTTACAAAGATATGGTTCGTAAAATGAAATTCGTGATTGCGATTGTCATAATCCAGACAAACAATTGAAGAAACAACCAAGAAACTAAAAAAACTCACCAAATCCTAGAAAGTATCATAACACAACTGAAAATAAATCAAGAGTACGTACATAAAATATAACTATTACATACGTTTTTGAATCTTCACTTTTTATACAAAAAAAATTAATTAAAATAATGTTTAGTTTTCATATGACTTTTGATTATTGAAACTTGCTGTGAATTCCAATTCATATTCTGTTTGGAAATATTACTGTAGATATTTTTATACTTCATTTTTTAGACATATTTGAAATTTACATTTATACTTTAAGATGAGTTTGTTAGGAGAAGGGCGAATAAAACAAGAATGATTGAGAAATTGATGAAGTAAAAAATTAATACTTTTATTTTAAATAGATATTATGCCGTCACAAAATTGAAGATCAATATCATCTCAATAGAATTACATAAAAATATCAGAATGAGCATTTTTTTGCATGGTTTGGAAAATTGTTTTAACATTAAAGTGCTACATTACTTACTGATCAACTACAAATAACAATCTCAAAAAATATTATCTTTCATACTGTGTAGAACTATGTGATATGAATATATAAGTTATTAATCAGATGTATATTCAACAGTAAATCTTCACAATCAATCAACATGTATACCAAGACATCACAGAGTAAAACATAAATAGGTCTATTGTTGTGATGGCTAATAGTTCATTTTTCAAGGAAATATTATTAGTTTCATTGTGTAGTACCTTAAAATACTGAAGCAAACTTGATCATTCAGAATTTCATAACAATGTGAAACAACAAATTATTTAACTATGTGATCTATGCAGCTACATTTGTACATAAATATTACAACTATTGTAAAAACATTAAATAGTATCTAAAATGACATAAACAAAACTTGTGGTAATAGCCGAGTTATTTTCGGTTTTCATTTCCCTGATTTCATTCTTCATTCATTAGAAGTATACAATATCATCAATTCCCAGAAGAAAATGTTTCAGACATGCCAATGCTCATACAATGACATGACATTGTACTTTCACACAAACAATACAAAATTTAATTTCGCATTGTGTCTTCGATTCAAAAATACGAGCTTCCATAGTAACTGAAAACCTTTTTCCATATTCCATTATTATCAAACTATTTTTTTATTAAAGTGAAATAAAACTGTTTCTCTACATCGTTAATTCAGGAACATTCATTTCTATTAGTTTTCTTGCAATACCTATGTCCTAAGATATAATAAGGCACTTGCATAGCACATTAACTGAAACAAAAAGCTTCCATCTTGCTTAATTGCTGCATCACAGTACAGCAAGCATAATGTTTTTGCAAAACTAATCATAGCCCTTCACAATTAATGTGCTAATCTATTTGTAAGACTAGGCATCAGAAACTAAAATTTGAGAAACACATAATGTAATGGAATTGTACGAGGAACATCAGAGAAATCATCTCTCCAACAGTCTATCAAAAGTCTTTAACACAACAGCCTAAAAAATATCCAATTCCTTCAACATTCAGTTGTGTACACTGTATTCGCACAATTCCATGAAGTCTTCAGGAAGTAGGAATCTTCTTGTCCAAGTGATTTCACTTCTTAATCGTCTTATGCACTTGCACTTGCCTTCATACACTTGTCAATATTCACTTCCACAAGGAACTTGGCAAGTTGTGGCTAAGTACACAAAGAAAATTTTCACCAATGTTTCAAGGCACATTAACCTAACAACACAGCTGTTGCCAAATCATGAACATTGTATCACACAGGTGGTTTCTTATCAGGGAGAGGAATTTCTTTGGGGGTGTATCGTTCTGGAGTGATGTGGTTGATATGATTTATGTGGTTTACATGATTCACAGCTTTATCTGGACTGGTGATTTTGTCTGCCACATACTTTCTTGGAGGACCAGGAAAATATCTGCTTATTTTCAGTGCCAGTGGGTGAATCAATTTCTCATCATAAGCATCTTCTTCACTCGTTCCTAAAGATAAATATTAAATCAACTCATTATTTTTTATGTAAAAATGCATTTCATGTACTAAAAATAATATACATAATATACCAGTACCTGTAATCATGCTGATTACTATTCCCAAGAAAACTGTCATGAAGCACCCAAAGAGAGAGTAGTACATGTAAGTAATTGAATACAATTCGGTAAGGAAGTCCCTGAAAGTAAAGTAAAGATTCATCTATAAACTTCTTTACTTTGATTCATTACAAAAGAATATAATTACAAATATCATGAATAAAAGCCATAATCACAGAAAATAACACATTTCAAAAAAGCATAATTTAAAATGAAAAGTACATACTCAGGCTCTTTGCTTATTGATATAACATCTTCAACATCTGTGTTATTAGTGATATACAGATCATCTGAATCCACAAAAAAAGCAGTCTCAGGAGGCCCCAGATGACCAAATGTAGCATTCGTACATCCTTCATCATTTAGAGGTAGAAGGGAAATTGGCTCCCGTTTCATAGTTAATTTTCCAAAAGTAATCCACAGTGTTAAGATATGGCTTACAATCATTCCCCAAGCTGCACCCTAAAATCAAAATAATTTTTTAACATAGGCCTACCTACTATTTGGTTAGAAATATTATATTTAAAAAATATATTACTTAGTATTAAGATATTAGAAAAAACCTAACATAAATCAAAATAAAATAGGTTTTCGAGTTATTTCTAAGAAATTGCGAAGTCAAATAATTAAAGTACGATAACTACTATACTACTTAGATTTTAATGAACTTTAATTGACAACAAAGCATAAAAATAGACCTAAAAACATGGGTTGCTTAATGGTGTATCAGAGACATTAACTCTTCTGGCAAGGCGAAGCTTGGTACTTACATTCAAAGTACGTACTGTGTACTTACATTCAAATGTATCATATAAACATTTAGAATACACAACTGTATTGAAAACAGAATATTATATCCTTCAAGAGATATCCATTCTAAACAAAGTATTTGTTACATGTTTATCATTCAACATGCTTTTTAAGGTTTTCCCTCAAGGTTTAATAATCCGTTACTTTACCTACCTTAAAAAGGATATTCATTGTGTTGTGGGTTTTCAAAAGAAAATTAGTAATAATTAGATAGTATTAATTAAAGAACAGTTCCAATAATGGAGTTTTTATTATACTAGGAAACTATATACATTGTATAGAAAATTGAGTTTGAAACTATTTTATCATAACAAGCTTCAATGGTATAGAAGCAGAATTCTGCCATAAATATGAGAATTGTATTATTTATTACGTTTCTCAAAAATAAATCCTCCATTAAGAGTATTTTAATTTTTTTAATTAACTCTGTAAAGTATAGTAGATACCATATTAGATAACACAGTAGAGAGTACTTAAAATATTTACCTTCCAATTGCAGCAAGGGATAAGCATTGCTAAGAGAAAAACACCGAGCAAAGGCCCACTTGTAGCTGATGTCATTAACATTGATGATTCAATAACTCCAGAAAACAAAGCTACACCAAAAGCTATTCCCACAATCAGCACACCATAAAAAGCACCTAAAAAGTCAAATATATTATAGAACAATTTGAAATATAAAGAATATATTTTGCAGTAATTGAATATATTGAAATTTCTTTACTTCTTATAAATTGCTACTTTCAAAAATCATAAGAATGAAATTTAAAAGATCAGTAAGTGAGAGTAAATTAATTATACATTGTAAAAATGATCATTTTACATTTAAAACACACACAGATTTGTAAAATGTAACATTAAAATATGTTAGAACCTAAATGCTTCTATTTCATTTATGAATTCCACGATTTCATTCATGAATTCCATGAATGTTCAAATCAAGAATATTGGGAAAGAAAAGTTTCAAAGAACACCCTTAAACATAATGTGTCTGTGTGGCATAAGTGAAGACAGTCTTCATTTTACTTGACAAATTGGCAATACAAAGACAAAATTGACATTTCACAGCCTGCAGTAAACATTTGTTAATTAAAAATGTGTTTACTGTTATAGCTATGTTAACAAAATTAATTATCTCTTCTAAAAATTTTAGAGTCTTACCAATGCATTTAATAACAATTAGTTGTTTCCGATCATTGAATGTTTGGAAATGAGGAAGCTGGAGGAAGAAATCTTCCCATGTGACAGTTGAAAGAGAGTTGATGATTGAGACTGTGAGGCTGAAAACCAAATTCATAATAATAATAAATAAACATATGCTTACAAATAAATAGAATATTAAAGATAAGGTTATTTGTGACAAACAACAAGGATGTTCAGCAGTGATTTCCATACATATTAGAGGTAATGGTTCTAATTATTTCTGTATAACTGATGATACTTTCAAATAAATTTGATTCTTCCCATTTCCATTTTTCTCTTTTTATATTTTGTTACTTTTGTAAATGAACATTGAAAATAAAATATGTGTATTACAAGGTTGAACATCAAAGGCATTGAAGGTCAGATATTTTATAGAAGAAATTCACGTTCAAAAATTAAGTAAATTCTTCATTTTGGATTTAATGACAAGCATAGAACAGTGGAACAAATTGGCATAATCATCAAATGCAGTGAAGAGAAAAACAAAAAAAAAAAAAAAAAAAACATTTCACCAATTAAAAGTGTTTTGATGTAGAAAAAAATTTAGAAATTGCAATTTTTTGGAAAAACATTTTTGAAGACATGAAAGTGATTCACTTCAAAACATTATTTTCAAATTTCCAAATCAATTTTTTTCTATTTATACTTTTATTAGGCAAGTATATTCGTACCATGATTTCTGGCAGTTAATCAAGATCTTAATAACTTATCACATTATTTACAGTATTTTGAAATGTATTATAAGGTGAATAAGGATTTTTTTTTACCTAAGAGCACCATTGAAAAGTACAGCCATGAAAATACCCAGTAGTCCTGGCATATGAACAAATTTGTCTTCAACGAAAAAAGGCACTATTTCATCAATCACAGAAATGTACCCAAACAGCAGCGGGTCGCAATTAACATAGCTTGCGTAAATGCCCATCCCAGCAACCCATGATAAGCTGAAGAGCACCACAATAATTGGGATGTTACCAATGAGAGTTCTGAAACAAAAAGTTCAAGTCATTAGTAGGGTCCTCTATGAAAGTGACCAAGTTATCAATGGGAAGGTCAAGCTAGACTTCAAATTTGAACATTCTTCTCTCCAAATGATTGAAAATAATATTCTGATATAAAGATGACCTACATTTCAATGATTATATAGATTAATAAGATTTACACAATAATGTGACAGATGAAAAAAGTTTATAAATCTATCATATAAAGTGATCAACAAATTCTTAGTTGCTTTAAGTGTACTAGGTTTGTAATATATATTTAGGAAAACACAGGCAGATATTTGAATACAAACATTTAAACATGACTTTTTGGATATTTAAACATTATTCTAGTAAATAATAATGTTTAATAATTTATCTTTGCACATAGTATCTAATGCAACATACAGATTATAAACTCTTTCTCTCTTTTTCAATTAACATTTAAAAAAATTTTGCTAAATTTAGCATTTTAATTTGTTTTCTTGCTATAGTGTCTTGGAGAGTGCAGAATATCAATTTTCTGTAATTCAGAATGTGTTACAAGCCTTCATTTAGCACTTTGAAATGAGGCTTATATTTTCCAAACTGAATACAGATAATACAACACCTACAGTGTCTATGATATAATGGGTCTATATTGACTGTTGAGAATATCATGGAGAGAAAAAAAGACTCACTCAAAAATCATAAACCAACTAAACATTCAACAGAGATTGGTGGACATTTGTAAACAAAGAATATTGAGATTCCTGGGACACATTGCCCGAAGGAATGGAACATGGCTTGAGAAATGGCTAGTTTAAAGTAAAGTAGAAGAAAAATGAGGCTGAGGAAGAATAGAACAATGAGATGGGTAGGCCAATGCAACACCTTCAGTGGAATCAGCCTAGAAGAAGCAATAAAGGAAGGCAGAGAGTCCAGAAGAGTGAAAAATACTGTGGAAGCCATCTACTAGATGGGTGACCTTAGTTCCATCTATGGAAGAACAAGACCAAAGAAGGAACAGTATCTACATTCACAATGAAGAAATGAAATGAAAATTAGACATCCTCTGGCCATGTGAGAGGAGTCTATAATTTCATCAGACACCAAGGAACTCAGAAAAAATCCAAACACAAATTTAAACAAAATTAATTTTCACTGAAAAATGCAAACTTTTGTTTGTGTTATTTTACCTATTCTCTTACTGCACCTACTAACTGAATTCTCATACTCAGTGCTTTAATATTTAAGAAACAGCTAATGGCACAAGGCAGGAGACTTTTAGGTAGTCACCCATTACCAAATATTTGCCCTCGAGGGTCGATGGTTGCATTAGGTAACAGCAACATATTTATTTTCTTGTTATGAAAGGAATTGCTAATATGAATATTTACTGTACTATATTACTTTGTATTTGTGAAAATGTTTTGTTAAAATATTTAATTTGTTGCATTATATTTTTATTTTATTACATTTCATTGCTCATTATTTTTATTCTTAAGCAGTGCTTTTTTTCACTATTCAAAGAAAGAATAAATCAAAATTAACTTATTTAACAGTATATTTATGTTTAACATAAATAGCTATTTTCATATTAAGGACGGGAAGTGAGTGTTTCTTCATGGTTTGGTCAATAAAATTGTTTTTGGCGAAACCAAAGGTCAGTAAAAAAATCAATCTCGATCATGAAAAAAACACACTTCTCTCACAATAAATTAACCACATTTTTTCTACAAAACTTACAATATTAAAAAAAAATGTAAGTTTATTCTGGAATACGGTGATTGTTATCTCTAGAAATAGTAATGTATTATATATGGTCGTGAATGTGCAAGTGTTACTAAGGGTCACGTCTATTTACTTCGTTACATTTAAATGCCGGAATTATTTCCACGTTATAAGTCTTGGTAACCATCTTTCTTTAATGCATCTTTAAAATGCGGATAGCAATTCTCTGAATGCGCATATTTTTTAAACATTTGTAGAAAAAGTTACATTCACTGAAACTACAATGAGAACCACAATATCCGTCCGCATAATCTCGTTTGGAAATTCGTCACGTCCCTCGTCACCAGTGGCGGCTCGAGGCATGTTTGCGTTACATCCAAACAAATTCGCCATTATACTTTTACCCATATATAAAGACATTAATGTCATTTATTATTACTCTCGTAAGTAACAATCACATTACAATTTTTTTCATTAATTGCAAACCAAATACAAGAAATTTAACCGCACGTTTACTGGGTGCCTAAGCGTTTACACAGCATTGCTCATTGCTACACCTTCGACTTCAATGTTGGAATATAGGCGATAAACCAATGGCTGTCAGAGACGAAGAGGTGGGGTTTCGCGGTGCGTGTGTGTGTGCGTGTGTGTGTGCGTGTGTGTGTGCGTGTGTGTGTGCGTGTGCGTGTGTGTGTGTGTGTGCGCGTGTGTGTGTGCGTGTGTGTGTGTGTGCGTGTGTGTGCGCGTGTGTGTGTGCGTGTGTGCGTGTGTGTGTATGTGCGTGTGTTTGCGTGTGTGTGTGTGCGTGCGTGTGTGCGTGTGTGTGTGCGTGTGTGTGTGTGTGTGTGTGCGTGCGTGCGTGCGTGTGTGCGTGCGTGCGTGTGGAGGGGTGTCTTCATGATATTAGTCGACGTCAACAGATGCTACGACAAGGTTCTCAACGAGTCCGACGAGTAGCTTTAGCCTCCAGCGAGTTCAAAGACTGTAGTTCCAGCGTCTCCACAAGGTGTCTCTGAGTCTTTCCTGCAGATACTATAAACTGATTATCTATCAGATGAAAATCGTATTTAAGTTATGTAAGTTTGCATGTTCTTCGTAATTTTAAATAAAGAAAACAGATGTAAAAATAGGAATGTTTCGAAAAACAACGTGACATTTTGGGTCCAGTGTCTTTCCGAAACAAACAAATGACTTCATTGTATACCAGTCTCAGTATCCGAGGTCCCTCCCCCGCTTAAAGCACCAACTTGTGGGGTACGAGCCGCCACTGCTCGTCTCAGTTGCAGCCATTTTGCCACTCACTTGACGACGGCCTTCTGGGACTCCATGCTGACGTAGCGTTGGACGAAGCTCTGCTGGCAGCCGAAGATGGAGAGCGACATGAAGAGCTGGCCGAAGAGCGCGGACACGGTGCTCACTCGCACGGTGGGGTCCATGTCGAAGCTGCGCACAGACAGAGCGCTCGCGACAGGGGAATCGAGAGGTCGCAGTCCAAACGAAAATGGCCTTTATCACAAATTCACATAACGATGCCATACAGGCTCAATCCTCAGGTGGCTTTGTAACTTGCCTAATTCGAAATAAAAACATTGTAATAATCAACTAATACGACATTTGGCCACTCCCAAGTTTTAGAGTGTTTCTAAATAATTGAAGTTACGTGAAAAAAATATTGATTGTTTTATTTACTAGAATTTACAGTTAGCGTTATCATGAGTTCATAATCAATAAAAAGTGTTCAAAAGAAATTCACACATGTTTCGAAAAATTATACAGTGAAACTACAATCCCACAACAGCACAGTACTACTTACATCTTCTGTCAGCCTTTCTTTATTCTTACCCAATATGACTCCTAAAATTACTATTAGTGAAAAATAAGAATATTTTATATAATACTCGATTCTATGGTCGTTTTGACGTAACTCTAAACAATAGAAGTTGTTATATAATAGCACAGTTTAGTATAATGATAAAATTATTTTAATCATATATATAAATAACAATAACATTATTTACAATATTTATTCATTTATCAAAGCAGATTTGCAACCTTAACCGATAGTTTTGCGTGATACACAATTTAAAATATAATTTTCAAAATATGTGTCTGTATAAATCACAAATATTATCATCAACTTTGAATACTATTTATTATCCAGCGAAACAAAATGTCTAATGCCACCATTTTGCCAGAGCGGGAGCACCACTTACTTGAAGAACTGCAGGCGGCCGTTCTCGGACGCCGTGTTGATGACGTTTTCGATGCCGCCCGCGCTCACGCAGCCCTGCACGATGATGGCGAGCGAGCACGCGATCATCACCAGGCCCTGGATCACGTCCGCGTGGATGGCGGCCTTCAGTCCGCCCTGCAAAGAGCCACGGCGCCACGCGTTCAGAACGGGCGTCTCTGGCAAATGGCTTGCGCATAGGCGTACAGCGCAGCGTAAACAACGAGGCACGCCAACTACTCTCCTAGGCTCGCTCCAACATTTTTTTGATAATTACATGTGACGTATTTTACTAGTAAAGAATAATATATACTTCGAAGATCCTCAAATAGAGCCTAAAGGAGCTTAAAATTATAACTTAACCAACTGCTATTAACGAATACAAATAGTTTTATATTTCACTATTCACCTCACCGGGTTGCCAGTTCCGGAGAGCCTCTTCCGCTAATATATAACAAATTCCTTAATTTACTGGGTTTGACAAATTATTTTAAATTATTGCAGAAGTTATTGCGGGCTGTGCTCACGTAATGCGATGTCTGAAAACGCAATGAGCCTAATATTCGATACACACGTTTTTGGATTCTGAGTACGCAGTCAGTGTAATAATTCGTAACAAAATCGGATTCCTCCATCAGACGCGGAAACCAGGGAACATTTTCTCCAATATCCAAAACTTTATCTGGTGACTCCCTCAGGGTCTCACTACAACGTGTTCTATTATTCATCATCTTCTTTCTCCTATATTTGATATCGTTTCATCATTATTGATGGGTTACCCAGAGTAAATCAATAAAAATTCCCAAGCTTATGCAAAAAGTTTCAAGCATTTAATTGAACCTTTAAATCTCCCATCGCACATGAGGCTTTAAGAAGACTTCCACATGAGGATGTAAGAACTTCCTACGCTTGAACACACAACTTTAAGGGGTAACGCTCACTTATGCAAAGATTCAGGGCCGTGGCGTAGGCCTTAAGGACCGTGAGTTTCTAAATCGCCCGCTCAGCGCCGAGACGAAGGAGCCTTACGAGCAGCGTGAAGAAGACGCTGATGGAGGTGATGCCGACGATGGAGGCCCAGTAGGGCAGGCCGATGACGGTCTTGAGCGCGACGCACGGCGTGAACACCGTCACCGCCACGTTCAGCAGCGAGCGCACAACGTACGTGGCGGACGCCAGGCAGCGCACCAGGCGCGACTTGAAGCGCAAGTCCAGGTACTGCAACACACATACACTGTATTGGACAGATGAATAGAAGACCGTGTTAACCCCTTGGCCTTCGTTTCTTTTTCTTTCTTTCTTTCTTTCTATTTAGAAATGAGACTAAGACGACTCCACTTATTCGCTATTCGCCAAGTTGCGAGCGACAGTTCGCCCAACCTCGAGCAGTGACGTGCTCGGCAAATGGTCGCTCCCTTTGATGTGCCCTAAAGACCGACACGCGGTGGGTAGGGCGAATACCGAATGTTAGGAGCTCGGCGAATCGTAAGCAACCCGTCCACACTACTCGAGATTCGGCGAGCGGTTGCACGGGATTCGCCGAATGCCGCATGTGTGGAGCCGCCTTAAAGCATGCATTCTGGAAGTCAATGCAAAATTCACGTAGAGGAAATTCACACCGGTTGGCTTTAGCTCAGAGCCTTCATTGCCGGTCGCTCCGACCGGGAGGTCCTAAGAGCCCCGACGGAGAGCATTTTTGACACTGGTTACAAAGCCAGGTCGAATTCAGCCTCTGCCTGGAGGAAAATTCTAGCGACCGGCTGCTCTGATCGGTAGAATTCCGAAGTTTCTCCGGTCAACACCAGGTGAATGTCGGAGATCGTCATATAGACATCAATTTTAATCTAAAATTAGATTAAAAACGTGAATTTTTTGAGTACATTGATAATAGTAAACGTCTAAAACATGATTTTTTACACCTAAAGTAATCCAGCATTTCTGAAAAATATACGAGTTTTCTCTAGCTTGCGTTACATTAAAAATTAATATAATACTCATATGACGAAATTAGAACGGCGTCTTAGGCTCGGTTCCTCACTATATAATAGAGAAGTATAAAATTATGAGAGCACTTAGTAAAAGCGTGCTAGTGGATTTTGATTGAGGCACGCGTTGTGATTGAAACAAATACAATGAAATAGTACACCATCAACGCGATAGATATCTATAGAGTGGCAAAGTGTCCTCATATTAGAAGCTTTTTGAAAGGACAACCACCATGTTTCCTTTGGAGAACATCGGAACGTGCGTTTCATTGTCAATTTGATGGATGTGCATTTAGAAGAGTTGTAGTATATAAAAGGTGTTGACCATAGTTTAGATTAATTTAAAGAATCTTATAGTTTAAGTTTGCTTGTTTATAATATAAATTAAATTTCTGGATTTTTTTCTTAGTAACACATTTCTTGGAATATTTTAAATTTTGAGTCGTACTGTTCTCATTATAATATCCATTTTTAAAACTTTCAATTAAATTGACCTCTCTATGAAAATGGTGTTAATAATTTGAGGCCAAACCATGGTCTCCAAAACGTTGATAAGAAAATAACCAAATATTTTAACAAATTCGCCACAATTTTCATTAATTTTAATGTAATATCTATTTTACTAGTAGCAGTGACCAAACCCTAGTCTGTAATAAAATATGGGCCATAATTAAAGTGCACTAACAGTCAAACCAATTTAAAAATTTTTGAAATATACATTAGATATGCTGATCAGGAGGAAAGCAGTTTTATGTCGCATAAACACAACACACACAAAAAAACGCCGATAATGTATACTTTTAACCCAAAATCCGTACCAGCCGGTTGTACGCTTTGCCAACAGAAAACATGGCGGCCAGTTGTACAAACTACCTGAACTGTATGTGCACACGATTCCTCTCCATATAATTCAAGCTCATAGAATGCTATTCAAAAACGAATTCTTTTGATGGGAACAATTGGTATTTACTCGAGTGAGAAACAAAAGACTATTCAGTGCATACCATTGTCGTGGTAATATAAGCCTGTACTGAAGACGACGCCATGAGGGGTGTCGACATGCATTGTTTCAATTGAATGCAGAGTCGTAGCATAATACTTAAAGCCTCTGACGCCTAAAAAGTGTTATAACGATATTGATTGGTTAGTATCAGGGAACGGATTTATATGTAAATGCGTATGTACTAAATAAGTTATTATCGGTACTAATTTGCATTATCTTTATGTTTCGCAATGTGTAGAGTTGAAAAATACCTCTTACTTTCCAAATTTCAAATTTTGATACATATTTCAATATAAGTCCGTATATTTTCTATATTTCTTTTAAAATAAGTTCATATAACATATAAAAGTTTAACAGCGAATTCTCAAAAAATTTTAAAAATTCATCTCAACAAAAATAGCTTAAAAATGTTTAGTAATTCCGTACACAGAGCTTTTTTTAAATTCAGGGAGAATTGGTTACGGGAAATCAAGTTAAATTAAAACTTTAACTGTTCCTTAAGTGAGGGATAGATCCACTCTCCGGCCCCGAGGCCCTGTCTGGGGGTCTGAGTGTCCCGAGGGGCGAAGGGGGCGCGAGGAGGCGATGAACTGTTGGATTTGTTTCACAGAGGACCCTGAGACCTCGATGGTCTATGGAAAACGCACCTCGTTGCGGTATCCCCACCACCCTTTTTCTTTCCCTCTGAGGCTGCTACCCGGAAATCGCATCACGTCCCCCAGACTTGAACATAGGAATTTAACTTGCACAGCCAGTTACAATCCAGTCAGAATACTACGCGTTGGTTCGGTTCTATTAATCTCTGTAATACGCCAGTTAATATGCCAAAAGTAACACAATCAGACAGTGTAAAATTAGAAGTTACATTTCAGAATTTAAAACTGAAGGTTTATCAACTGGTAATACAATAATTTACCATAGGCAATTTTAATCATATCACGTCCACATTTAACTCCGTATTTTGATAAAAATAACTACAAATGTATTTGCATAATTCATATATTTTTTAGTCCATATAAATACGTTATTGGTTATTATTTTGGGATAGAAATTGATGATAATGGCACGGTAAAGGCACATGCTATCAAACTAGCTGACTACTTCATCAACACTTTTTCAACAAACGAACAACACTTCATTACATTCTTCGCAATTCAATGATTTATGCTCCTTGAGTGTTTTATTTCTTATATTTTTAAATGCTGACTTTATTTTTCTTATTCATGTTATTTTTTGGTGTGGTGGAGGCCATTCTTTAGGTAAACGGGTTCTGCCAATAATTAAAAATTAAATTGACTCTCTTTAATATGTTTTTGATTTTTGGAGTAATTATTTATATGTATTTATATGCTAGCAACACCAGGGAACAGATAGTGGTGCACTCAAATAAATTTCCTGGAATGTTAGTAATCACGAATGAGAGCAAATGCTAAACGGAGTACAACCATCTTTGAGAACAGATTACCTTTAAAGAATGAATTCTGTTAATCCCATCTTCTAAGAAGAAATACACACAAACATTGACAGAAAGTAATAAGAACTACGATTCTTGAAATTTAAAAAATTTTGAAATATGTGTCGAGATTTATTTTTGCACTTCAACCAAAAGCACGAATAATACATGTTTAGAATCTAATGCAGGAGATGTATTTTTTTTACATATTTTATTGATAAGCAAAGCATTGCATCTATTCAGCTTACCTGGTAGACAGAGGTTATTCCAAGGCTATAGTACACGGGCAAGAAGACGAAGCAGACGATGGGGTAGGCGCACACCATTCCGTAGAGCGTCTCCCACATCGCTGTTCCTCGGTAGTAGAGTTCTGAAGGGTAACCTGCAAACGAAGATTTGTTCTCATTGTCGCATTCAAAGTTAGATTGGGAGAACAAAGATAAAAGTCTCATGGTATATGTCATTTGAAAAACAGTGTATTTTTATCAAAACAGAAGTACAAAATTGACGAAGACTTACAGTAAACATTACACACTACAGTTAGATGTACGGCGAAATTAAACATTACAAGCATTCTTTAATTTGGTAGAAACATTTATTTTCTAAGCAATTAATCCTTTAAAAAATTAGTCACATTGAAGTACGCATGTTATTTTAACTGTCTACTTCCCTACATTCTTTGCTTCTATTTCTTTAGTTCACAAGAAAAGTGACGCAACACAAATTGTCATTTTGTAGAAGGCTGTTTTGATCTTAAGACGACACGTTTATTTTCAGGGCGATGACAAATATGTTTTGCGTTGTGTATCAAGACGTCAAGTTAATTACTTTTACGAAATTTAAGGATGGCGAAATTTAAGGCGCTGGATCTCCCCACTCGGCGGGGAAGATCGCGCGGAAGGAACCCGCACTAGACTTACGGGACTGCCGCCCTGCACTCACCGAGCACGGAGCGCACGCCCAGGGTGCCCCGCGCGATGGACAGCATCATGGCGAAGGTGGAGACGCGCGAGCCCGTGGCGAAGACGTAGGCCGCCTTCGTCTTGTCCTTGCCGTCCCCGCACTTGTTCCAGAGCGGCAGCGCCGTCGACAGCACCAGGAACACCACGAACGCGATGTAGTCCCACACCATGCTGGGCATCGCCATCTCGGCGCCGGCGGAGGACCCTGCAAGCACACGAGGGGTCACTCCTAGGGATTTCAGTGACATCGGGATTCAAACACTTGCCTTTCAAGGACTCGCTTCGCTACGAAACATCACCTGTGTTAAGTAGAGAGATATTTCATATGACTTAGAAATTCAGAAATGGCCTAAAATTCCCCTTAATAAATTAATTAAGTAAAATGTTTCCCAATTATCGGTTTGTGACAACCCTTGAGAGTCTACTACTTTTGTATTTCTTAATATTATAAGAAAATCATCCATTTAACTTTCATTTTTATTCAGTATTTCCAGACGAACTAAGTTACTGTCATCGCCCATCACTCACTAGTCTACTGGTTCTCAAACTATGCGCTGCGATAATTTCAAGGGAGTTCTTTCCTTTATATACGTATTAAAGATCGATCAATTGAGGGAAAAATTACAAAGTTTATATAGTGCCTATAAAGATAAGACAGCAAAATATATTTCTCGTTGAGTTGAAATACCTATGAATCTTAGACTTCGTAGGCAAACTTGTTTAATCAGACAGGAATTTATTTTATGGAACGTAATAGTCTAAATTCATTCTCTAATAAACTCGCTTTCAACAACGCACAGCATAAAATTTAAAAAAGACAGAATATATGTTAACCATTTTCGACATTAATTTGTAGTGTATTGTCATACAAGTTAAATTATCACTGCAATGCTGCTCATTTAGTCCACATTTGAAAAAAATACTACGTGTTAAACTTACAACGCCAATTGCGTATCTGAACAGCGTGATTATATTTATTGAAGTTACGAAGGAACCGCAAAGAGGAAATCATATCTCAATCTGATTAGAAGAAACGTGTGGATCAGGCAAGTCTCACAATCTTCAGACAAAAACCACATCAGCGAAGAAAGGATCGACATATTAGTAGAATAGTGAAATAGTGGATATATTTATTACACGTCTCAGCGTCCTAAAGTGTATCTATTGTATTTGTAAAATGTACTAAGTTATTATAAAAATATTGGATTAGTACAAATACAACTGAATTTAATCTATTCGAATTGAATTAATAAATAATTTTAAACTTATTTTAAATATCTATCAAATACGACACAGTCAAAAATGTTTTATGTTCTACAAAGTAGTTGACTAAAAATGTTTGAAAAACACTGTGATAAACGCAAAGACACTTCCGGGCTCTTTGGATATGAAATCAGTGGCATACGAGGACATCGGCGACAAAACACTCCAGAAAGAAAAGGATAATCAGGAAGGGATTCTAACACTCAATACTTCTCCTTTAATTAAACATATTGGTACTAATGATATCGTCAATAGTTATTTTGATTAATAATTACAAACTTACCAGTTCAGTAAAAATTAATTTTATTTCTTAAAAATTGGAAAGACATGGAATTAATTTCTGAAGACTGTTTACCATATTGCTTTAATTCAAAGAACATTTTAATTGTGATGCTGCACGATTTGAGTACAGCGGAAACTGCTTCCTCCAAAATAACTCTTTCCATGTACACGCCCTGCAAATGAAATTATTCGCGGGATGGCAAAATTAGCGTGATACTGTATTTACGCGTGTTGCATGATGCTCGTGTAAAACGTGCTTATGCGTAACTAAAATGTGTACTAGAATGTGTAATAAAATGTCTCTTATAGAGCAGCGTCCTTTGAAAAGAGATAGAAAAAAACAAAAAATATTCAAATTCAGGATTAATGATACAAATTTCACTGGCAGAATCAAGGCCGGGAGACATGCAAACCAACAATAGTTCATGAAACGGGTACTAATGAGCATTGAGTATTTTGAATGTACGATGCGATTATACAAACAGGTATGCAATTTTCACATTTCAACTCATTGCTGGGTTTTGTTGATGCAATTATCACACAGTAGGTAATAGTGCAGTAACATAAATAAACAAGTTGTTCCGTAAACATCTCATTAACAGTGTTATTGGCTTTCATTGTCGTTTCGTAAAAAGTTAACTGCCGGGATCATAGACCTGTGCCTGGAACGCTGACCTACCACGTATTTGCATAAAAATAGTTCGTTCATTAACAGAAACAGAGATACATCTCCCCTCATTTGAATCTGAATGCAGTAAATCAGAGAATTCGTCCCTAAGGAAGACTCAACGGAAATGGTAAACAGAATTTAATAGCTGAGCTGTTGCTGTGAAAACACCACATTCGGCACCAACATGGAAACTGCTAACATATGTTTATCCAATTTATTACATTACTCTAACGCAGTTTAGCTTAAGTGTCTCTTCATATTGAAACAGAGTAAAGCGGGTTGCAGCACAGAGCGCTTGGGCGCAGTCAGTTCGTGCGAGTTGGAGACTTCAACGATAGATGTCTCTGCTTGACGGCTTCCTTAAGAAGCACAGAAGCTGTGCAGCAACGAAACAACGATCTCCAACGCAAGCAACAGTTTTCTAGATCACGTTTCATTGCGTGCTATTTTCGACAATTCCCGGCGAACATTACACCTGCATTTCGACGCCTGTTTTTATTTTTTAGCGCTTAAATTGAAGAATAGTACTACAAAAATACTAAATTTACTCTTTTATAAGCGACACTGGAATTTGCCTCCACCAGCTAGCTCAGAATTTTGAGTTAATCTAAATGAATTATAGTTTACATGAGACATTTTTTAAATTCGTTTTTACATCAACTTCTGACTACTCCAAGATGGCATTTACCGTATTTGTTTTTTAATATAAAAGGTATAGTATATGTATTGACTAATTGGCAATACAATTCTATAGTATTTAAAACCGTAATTATTGTATTGGTCATTCGTATAAAACATGTCCGTAGTAGTTCAATGAAAAAGCTTTGATTCAATGAATCACTAACATACGATACTCTTATAAACTTTTCTTTTATTTTAATTTTTTATGTGATGAACAGACGTTGTGATCTACATTGAGTAGTAATGTTCGTCGTAATAAAGGCAGACGTCACTTTTCTGTAATATTCACACAACAGTCATTCAGAACAGTCGGATATTGAATGTATTGGTAGAAACGAATCTGCTTCGTTTGAACAACCTTCGTCTTCTGTACTAGAAATTCGTGTTATACAGAATAACCCTTTTCAGTACAGGTGGTACAACAATACTAATAAAATGCATGAAAGTAGTAGGCAATATTGACTCACCACTCTTCATTAAGTTTTTCAGAGCAATGCGGACTTTTGCTTGTGAATGGTCCCTCGCATTGTTGGGATTCGCGTTCTTCCTTTCGCAGGAGAATTGTCATGTACATGCATTTGCAGATAAATGCCTCAATAATTTCAAAGATTTTGCAAATACACCCCTTTCCCCAAGGTTTTACTCTTAAATTTGGATTTCAATAAATAGTTAACACAATTCTCTGGGCTGACGAAGGAGTCGTCCAAAATTACTCCGAGGAGCTTCCCATACCGTATTGCACGCCATGTACACCACAGAGAATAAGGAAGCGTACGTATGTCGTTAAGTCTATTCAGCTACTTACACTTAAATAATTAAACATCAAACGCAACGATATATAATACACGAGATTCATTGTACATGCTGAGTGTATCTGGAAAGTCTGATACATTGGTAATAGAAATAGACATACCAGTTGTTGGGTTGATGGAGCCGTTCTTGAACATTGCCGTAGGATAGATATCAACTGACGAGAATGTCTACACTCGCTCTACTTAAAAGGTTCTCCCGTTTTGTCTTCTCATTGGCCTTTGTGAGATCCCACGCGACGCGGCGATTGGGTGGGAGGGTTATGCAAGCAGAATGTCAACCAATAGGTTTGTCTTCTCACAAGAGGCAGAAGGTAACCGATGAGCACTAAACGCCATTTTAAAAACGGAAACGGGACACATCTCGCCATATTACGTCACATTGGTAATGTCTCTGTCGTAAACCGGTCATTTAAAAATGAAGTCTGCGAAATGAATGAAAGGAAGAGGTGCGCCAGAGTGGCAAAAAGCAGAAGAACCTGAGATTATACACGAGAAAATCGTGTTTACACAACATGGTGCCGTCGTACTGAGTAATTGCAGATTTTAAAAAGCTAAATGAGAAATGTGTCTGCGAAATTATGGTACTTTCTGCCCGTCTACCGATTTTGCTGTAGCTCTCGTTCCATGGATGACTGCATCCATCCCATTTTGACACGCTGTCAACAGAAATGCAAATGGGACGCTGTCATTCTTCAAACGAAGCACGCTGTTATACGTGGGCGAGAGAGAAATGAACAGGTGTTTCATGAGCTCACCATGCTTTTCTCTTACATCTCTAACGACATAGTATTTACTCTGTCACACACCATCTTTTCAAGTCTCCTAACAAGAACATTTTTTCAAGCCTCCTATGTCGTGCATGGCACCTACCTCATAATTTTGAAATATTCAAAACGTTAGTAACTTATGAAGAACATACTACGACATCCACAAATATCTGTTAAAGCAGTCATATGAAAGAACACCGCTACTGAGGGAAATACAATAGAAAATATAAAAGAAAATTGTTTTTATGGAATTACACTCAGAAGGAAAGGAATTATGTTTGTACGGAATTGTAGTTTCTACGGTGATTATAGTTTTTCAAATTCAAATTTTAAAAAATCTCTGCAATTTATTATTTTAACTCACAATTTATCTTATACTTTTTTTAAACGTAGGGGTGTTACTTAATATACATATTTTTTCTCAAAAAAGAGAGTAGATCGTCAACGAGAAAACCACCTACGCACGTGACACACATGTTTGAGTAATGGATTATTTCTTTGACAAAACGATACCAAAGTTGATTGTTCTGATGCAAAGATAGAAGCGATATTAATGCTCGTTATGTGCTGTTTTACTAAAAGTCATCTCATCTACGAATCGCTTTTAAATACTAAAACTCATACACAATGAAACTCCAAAAAATATTTAGAAATATCTCACAGCTGTGAGCCGACGTGAATTTTGTAAAATTCGTTGCACTATAATCTATTTAAATTGAAAGTGGAATGTGTAAGATTTCAAAAAAAAGTTCCATTTTGTAATCTCATATTCT